CTGCCTCAGATATCAGGAAGTGTCCATTCATGAAAATGACAGAGAAAACTAAAAAAAGAAGAACTTTACGAGTTCAGAGATTAAAGTCCATCTGTCAGAGATCCAGAATTATTTTTAATTTATATTTAGCAGAGTCAGACCTGCTAAAGTCGAGGAATGAAATGTCTGCTGTTAATGTCTCCTGTGGGTCGTATATACAGGCACAGAAATAAAAATGTTCATCTCACCCCAGTCCTGTTCTTGTTTTTCTTTGGTTAAATGAAATATAAAGTTATTAGTGAAGAAAACCCGTCTGGATAACAGCAGACTGACTGCTGGTAAAATATACGACAGGTCTGGACCACTCCTGAATTTTGTTCGTATCTGAAAAAAATCTTAGAATATGAAAACATTGGTGAATGTCACAAATTCTCYTAAATCACTCGTACGCACAATTTAAGAACAAATCTGTGCGTACSAACGGTTCTTGCATGAGGCCCAATGATCCCAAGCACACCACCAGGGTAACAAAGGATTGGCTTCAYAAGAAACATTCAAGGTCCTTGTGGCGGGGCTCTGTTATGACTTGGACAAAAATATGGGCCAATGCTGTGATTCACTTCTTCACTGGTGTTTATTGTGCTCGTCTTCATGTGGAAAAAAGTGAAGCTGTACAGCTTATTTACACTGGACATCCAGGCAGGTTAAAAAAAACAAAGTCAGTATTACCTTAATGGTAACTCAAAAAAGTCCATCACCTTCAGTGTGACCTGTTAGGACTCTAAAGTCAGACTGACTCCTTGTGGCGCAGAGCCCTCTTTTATACACACAGGCTCCGCCCACAGGAAGAGAAAAAAAAACTCTCAATACTTCAAGCAACTACTCATCAACAATACCAAAAAAAGAATAAAACAAATAAATAAACACAATAAGTGAAATAAAAAGAAAAACAAAACTATAATCAAAATATAACTCTCCATTCATACAACATCCTGATGACGTCATCATTACGTCGTCACGAGACTCCTTGCCAGTTCACCATCACCCGGAAATAACTGATTTAGAATATCTGACTCAGGAAAATGTTTGATGCTACTTTTTCAAACTAAGATGGACATAACAACTGAGACAGGAACACCGTGTGTGCACCCACGACAACCGCTTCAGTTTATGCTGCGACCAAAAGGTAAATTCTTCCGAGCATCTATGTGTGTGTGTATGTGTGTGTGTCGGTGCGTACTTTGCTACGTTTCAACTTGGGACGGCTCCTCCGTCACAGTCCAGGGGTCGGAATTATAAAACTGGCGTACGCACAATTTGAGCCCAGAAACTTGCGTACGCCACTTTTTACGCCAAG